AGACGTCAGGAAGTCTGACGTGGGAGTGGTTGGTGGAACTTCATGTCTGCAGTACCTGGCGGGAGGTGAGCAGGCCCAGGACTCATCCCGGCTTGCCCGTGTGCATTGAGGGCAGTCCCTATGGCACTGCTCGCTCTGTGACAGATGGGAACATTTGACCCAGCCTAGGAACCTCATCCCATCACCCCCTTAGAGGGCCCTGGAGGTAGCAATCCCCATCCTCCAGGGAAGAGGCAATCCGCCGTCTTCTGGTCCCTAGGGGCATCAACCATTGGAAGAGGGACCTTTTGTGCATGCCCTACAGGTTCAAGGTGAAAGCACTGGTCATTAATGTAGGGAGCCCATGACCCTCACTCCCCCTGCCCCCCACTGGGAACCAGTCCCAGGACAGGGTGCAGGTGTGCCAGGAGCTCCAAGGGGGGGGCACAGGGATTTTACATGGTAGCTCCTCCACCGTGGTCTAGGGGAGGAGACACTCCCTCCAGCCTTCTCTTAAGTCAGACATATGGACCCCAAAAGAGAGGCCAAAGGGGGCCCTCACAGCCACTAGTCCAGGGGCGTCTAAACCTTGGCTCTCGAAGCCCTAGAGTAAACAGTTTCTAGACGGTGCACCAAATACACTCTGTATCCATGGAGACACACTGCGGCTGAAGCAGCGGTGAGCGCCCAAGGGCCTGCCCCCCAGGCCACAGCCTGGGCCACACACTGACAAGCCTCTGATCAGGCCCAGCCTTTTCATTTCAGAGGAGAAACTGCAGGCAGAAGGGACTTGACCGACCCACCGACACCACCCGTTTCGGCCAGGGCCTCGGCTGGGAGCCTGTGCGAAACAAATGATGGGAGAGTGTTCTGTAAACTGTCAAGTTTGCGGACTCATCCGGACTCCGCCATTTACAAGGAGTTGCCAGGCACCTTGCACCGTCGCTATCTGGGAGGAGGCTGAGGAAGAGAGTGTGCGCAGCATCCTAGGCAGTAGGGAAAGAACGTGGGGCTTTGGACCCTGGCCACATGGTTCGAACCCAGAGCACTGTGCGCCACCTGTGTGACCCCGGACAGTTCACGCTGTCTCTCTGAACCTCAGTTTCCTCTCCTAGAAAAAAACAACTAACTAAATAAACGCAGAAAACGCCATACCGACCTTCTCTCTGCGATCAGGCGGGGCGTGAGACAATGTCTAAGAAAGGGCTGGACTCAGAGCCACTTCCTGCCCCGAGGGCTGGAGCCAGCTGCTGACGGTGCTAGAACACGGGTCTTCTGTCTGCCGCCCGGACACGTCTCCATAGGTCATGCCAGGCCCTCAGCACGCAGCCCGCACATGCTCTTTGTCAAGGTGTCTGAGGAGTGACCTTCCATCACCGACCGGCCGGCTGACTCAGCCCCAGCCATCACCCTCCGGTCTCCCCTTTCACACACTGTGGGTGCCAGAAAGCTTCCAGCCAGCTGCTCAAGATCCCAAACCTCCCCAGCTCTGCATCCTGGTAACAGAGGAGAGGGCCCGGCTGGATCGGTTTCAGGAAAGCGAGAAGTGATTTCTTTCTCTCAGGCCCTTGAAGAGTTCTTTTCAACTTCCTCACCCCAGCCCAAGGTTCTCAGCTACACACACACACACACACACACCACACCACCCCCTGCCAGAGGCCAGCAGCAGAGTTTCACTCTGGTTTTTCCCATCCGGGTCCCTGGGAGTCTGGCCAGGTGGTGGACCCAGGAGGGGGAAGAGGCCATCAGACATCTAGACTGCACTGCTGTGGGGGTGACATGGGCACATGACTTTCCTGTTGGGCCTGCAGTGTGGCAAAGGAGATGGGAGGAAACGAGGTGGGCCACTTCAGCTTCTGTGACTCAGACGTGAGCCCTGATGTCATCACTTAGTCATCCAACAAATACGTCCCGAGAGCCTAGCCTGTGTGGAAGGGGCCCCGGGGGCACTGATGGTTAGTCATTGGGCTGCTAACTGCAGCTCACACCCGGGAGAAAGATGTATGCTTGTGTCTCTTATGTCTTTTAATTAATGACAGTGGGTCATGCATTACGCTGCCCATGCAGTTGGAAACCACCAGCCACTCCTCTGTAGAAAGATGAGGCTCTCTACCCTCCTAAAGAGTTAGAGTCTTAGAAACCCACAGGGGCAGCTCTGCTCTGTCCTACAGAGTGGCCATGAGTTAGAATGGACTTCATGGCAGTGAGACTGGTTTTAGGATTCCTCTTGGGACAAAAACAGGCTTTCTGAGCCCTCACTGCCATTGAGTCAATCCTGCGCCATAGTGACCCAACAGGCAAAAGTAGAACTGCCCCTGTGGGGTTCTAAGGCTGTGAATCTTTATGGAAGCTACACATTGGACTGCTAACTGCAAGGTCAGCAGTTGTAGGCCACCAACCACTCCGAGGGAGAAAGAGGAGGCTTCCTATTCCCATAAAGAGTTTCAGTCTCAGAAAAGACAGGGGCAATTATATGCTATCCTATAGGGTTCCTATGAGGGACAATCAACTCAATGGCAGTAAGGCTTTTTTGGTTTTACTTTAAGGAGCCCTGGGGGCATTGTGGGTTAAGCATTGGGCTGCCATCAGTAGGTCAGTGGTTCAAACCCACTAGCCACTCCTTGGGAGAAAGCTGAGACTATTTGTTCCTGTAAAGATGTATAGTCTTGGAAGCCCTAACAGGATCACTATGAACTGGAATCTACTCCGTGGCAGAGGGCTTGGGGTTTGGTAGGTTCAAGCCCTGCTCCAGGCCCTGGGGAATAGAATAGACCAGCGATTCCACCCTAGTGGAACTGGCACTCTAGTGGAAGCAGACAGATCATAAGACAGGAGTGAGCACGGTAGTGATCGTTGTAGAGAGCCAGGGGTACAGCGTGGTGGTGGTAGCTGCCGTCCGGTTGGCTCCAGCCCAAGGCAACCTCCTCTACACAGGGGCAAAACAGGCCCAGTGCTGCACCTTCTCCGTGCTCACTGGTCCGTCCAGGGCCACTCCTGCAGCGACTGCATTTTGAGAGCCTTTCAACGTAGGGGGCTCATCTGTCAGCATGAGCGTCAATAATACTGTGGTGAGCACTACAGCAGATATTACTGTGATCGCTATAGCCGATAACATTCCCGTGATCCATAGGGTTTCCGTGGCTAATTTTTGGAAGTAGATTGCTCGGCCTTTTTTCCTTAGCTAGACAATTCCAGTGAAACCTGTCCACCATGGGTGGGGTTTCAATCCCTGGCATAACTTCCAGGGTCACAGCAGCAGCAAGCGAGCATAGTTGGCAGATGGGTGGTAGACAGGGCGGTGAGGGGTGCCAGCATGGGCAAGGGAGGCCTTGGTGAGAAGGAATAATTGGGCAGGGCCTACAGCAAAGGGGAGGACTGAGCCACATGGAGGAAATGCATCCTGAGCCAAAGGAACAGCATGCACAGAGTCGCTGATACAAAAACGTCTTGTCCCAGGACTTCAGTAAATTGAGGTGGGCTTTGTGCACCTCCAGTGAGAGGAGAGAGGCTGAGCCGTGGGGGTCAAGAGCCTTTCTCTTTTCATCGGAGCTACATATAAGGGGTGGCTATTGAAGCCTACTAATAACATTCCATCTGTTCCTATTCCGCCACCTGGGGTCCTAAGTCCATGCCTCCACATTAAACGCTGAGACTCTGTCAGGGGAGACCTTCCACATCTCCCACCCCTCAGGCTTCTGCTCCTCCAGGGCTCCTCCACATGGGGTTTCTTGGGATAGTGAAAGGGGCCGGAGTTCAAGTCCCTGCACCTAACACTTACCTTGTGAACTGGGCAAGGACCCCCACCCAGGGGCCCCAAGGGTCTCCAGCGACAGCTCTGGGCCGCAATGCCCATGAAATGCAAGAGTCCCTGGCTCTGACCCAGTAGGACTGGGGGTGATCCTGGCTGCTCCTCCCCAACGCCCCCCCCCCCTCCTCTCCAGGTACAATGGCCCCAACCTGGTTCTGAAGTACGAGCGGGCCCGGAAGCGGCTGGTGAACATCGCCGTCGACGAGCGCAGCTCACCCTACTACGCGCTGCGGGACCGGCAGGGCAACGCCATCGGGGTCACAGCGTGCGACATCGACGGGGATGGCCGCGAGGAGATCTACTTTCTAAACACCAATAATGCCTTCTCCGGTAAGGACCGGGCCTCGGGCCCGCCTCTCCGTGCCCACCCCTTCCTCTCCCCACAACTGAGCGCAGGACCATGGAGAGCTCACCCTTCCGCAGGCAGAGCCCCGCTCAGCTCCCAGGCCCTGGGCTTTCTCACTGCAGAGAGGGGGACATGGCCTGGCCACGCCCCCTCCTTCCCACCCGGTTCACCGCCGGAGCCTGCAAACCAGACCCTGCTTGGGGTGGGGGTGGGGGGTGAGCAGTGCAGCTTTCTGAAATGGGCTGAGATCCTCCTGTGCCGCCCCCACCCGTCACACACACACTTTGAAGGTTTCCACAAAGTGTCGAGAGCACCGTTCCAGGGATGGGGTGCTACAGAACCAGCCTAGAAGGGGACAGATCTTGAATTCGAGGGGTCTCCTGGCTGGGGCGTCTAACGCAAATGCAGATCCTGACTCCGTAGTGGGGCCCCAGGACGCTGCATTCCTAACAAGCTCCAGCTATGATGAGATTGATGATGCTGGCGGGGGATCAAAAGGCCAGATCGCAGTCACAGTCACATCGAGTCCTTAGGTAGCACAGACTGTGTACTGGGATCAATGGTCTCACTGTGAAGTGTGTGCTGGTCAGACTCTCACTGCCATCGAGTGGATTCACAGCGACCTATAGAACACAGAACTGCCCCTGTGAGTCTCTGAGACTGTAACTCTATCGGGCAGCAGAAAATCCATCCTTCTCCCAGGGAGCAGCTTGTGGCTCTCCGCTGCCAGCCTTGTGATTAGCAGCCCAAAGCATAACCATTCCTCCACCAGGTCTCCTGTGTACTTGTATTAATTTAAACAAACAAAAAACCCTCACAGCCATCAAGTCATTGATGCCTCATTGTGGCCCAATAGGGCCAGGTAGAACTGCCCTTCTGAGTTTCTAAGGCTGTAACTGAAGCTGGTCGTTTTAAACTGCTGACCTTTTGGTTCTCAGCCCAACGCATAACCACTTCACCACCAGGGCTCCTTGTGTACTGGAATATCCCCCTGCCCCCTGAAGAGCAGAGAGGGTAAGTAGCTTGCCCAAGGTCAGGTAACTTGTATGTCCCAGAATCCAAACCCAGGGGTCTGAGACTCCAGATCCCTCCTTTTAATTAAGACACTCTACAACTTTTTCCACTTGGTGACCCCAGGACTCCATGCGTCACAGATTGGGGGCTGTGTTCTTGAGCTGCAGGTGGAGGTGTGCCCCTGCCCTGACTTTGCCCATCCCTCAGGTCTGCTGTAAGAAATAGGCTCCTGGGGGACTGCAGGGCTGAGGCAGGCACCTGGAGAATGGGCTATCCTGTCCCTGGGGGTCAGATTGAATGTACTTGGGACACACACACACCATGAGTGGCAGCAGCCTCTTGGGTTGGCTCTGGATGAGACCCTGTGGTTCAGACCTGTGTATTCATCACCTGGGTGCTCTCGTCTTCCTGGACCCAACTATGGGGCCCAGCCTCCCCACCCCACCAACACATCTTCCCCCTGGCTCTCCCTTGTTGCCCTTGCTGGTTGTCAAGCCCAAGCCAGGACCCAGCCTCTGGGCTTCCCCTGCCAGTCGCGTGGATGGGAGGGGAAGAGGTCGGAGCCTGTGCCAGGGGCAGGAGTGGGCAGTGCTGGTTGGCGGGCTGCCAGTTTGTGCAGCCAAGAAACAATGAACCACAGCCCGAGTGATGTTTTATGGGTTTTCATCTCATCTTGCCACCAAGTGAGGCCTGAGAGATCGTAATTATCCCTATACAAATATCAGGGCATGATTACCCAGCTGGATTTACTGCCCTCTCTCCAGCCAAGCCAAGATTGGACTAGGACACGATTAATTGATGGGCTGATCAACTCTTTAATGTGAGACAAGGTCGGGGAGGGAGCAGCATTGAGGGACCGCTGTGGAAGGGGTGAGCCCCAAGGAAGATGCTGGAGAGCAGGCGAGGAGAGATGGGGAGAACAGAGGAAGTGGGGGTGGGGGAGCAGGCAAGATGCCAGAGGAACAGCCACAGACACCACCGCCCCACCCCCAGCTCATTAAGAACAGAGCATGCTGGCTGTGGCCCTCAGTGTCTCTAAAGCAGCAGCCCTTCCCACACGCTTCAGAGTGGTCTATTGCCAAGGACACCACAGAGCAGTGGTTCTCAGCCCAGGCTGCCCATTAGAATGGGAAGCTTTGAACAATCCCAACTCTCGGTCCGGTCTGAGCAGAACCTCCAGGGATAGGGCCCAGTCATCAGATCTGAAAGTGCCTCCCCCCCAAGAGGATTCCTAGGTACAGTCCAGGTTGAGAGTCACGGCCCAGACTCGACGTCCGTTAGCTGCACACTCAACTACTGTGCTGCGGTGCCATCAAGCCAGTCTGACCAGCAACCGTATGCACCGCAGAAAGAAACACGGCCCGGTCCTGCGCCATCTGCATCATCTCGCTGTTCTGGGAGGCCACTGCTGTAGCCACGGTGACAATCCATCTTGGTGAGGGTCCTCCCGTCTTTGACTATCCCTCTACGTCACCAAGCACCATGTCCTTCTGCCTCCTGATGACCCGTCCAGAGTCGATAAGTCTCCTACACTGATTCTAGCTGTACTTCTTCCAAGACAGACGTGTGTCCTCCGGCCCTCCAAGTATTCTTCCCCAACACCGTGATTCAGACTTCAGTTCTTCTTGGATCTTCTTTATTCATTGTTAGCTTTGCTCGCATGTACGAGTGTATCAGGCGGTTGAAAACACCGTGGCTTGAGTCAGGTGCACCTAACTCCTCAAAGTGACGTCTTCGCGTTTCAACACTTTGGAGAGGCCGTGGGCAGCAGATTTGCCCACGCAACCCGTTGTTGGATTTCCCGAGTGCTAGTCCCGAGAGTGCTGACTATGGATCCAAGTGAAATGGAATCGTTGACAACTTTAATCTCTTCTCCATTTCTTATGATGGTGCTGATTGGTCCAGTTGCGAGGGTTTTTGCTGTCTGTGCGTGGAGGTGCAGTCCGCACTGAGGGCTGTACTCTTGGAGGTTCATCAGTAAGTGCCTCCGCTCTTCTTTGTTTCAGTACGCTCGGTTGTTAATGAGCCTTCCTCCAGTCCTGATGATGTAATCATGTAATCCAGCTTCTTGAATTATTTGTTTAGCATACAGACTGAATATGTGCAGTGAAAGGACACACAAAACTGACACGTTTTTTTCTGATTTTAAACAAAACAAAAAACTCACCGCTGTCTAGTCCTCGAGGCCGACTCAGAGGGACCCCACAGAGCTGTGACCTTTGCTGTGAGTTTCTGAGTTTCTGAGTTTCCAAGACTTGTAAGTCTTTATAGGAGTCAAAAGCCTCCTCTTTCTCCCCAGGAGTGGCCTGTGGTTTCAAACTGCTGACCTTGCAGTTAGCAGCTACTGAATATTCTCCTGTTGCCTTTGCACAGTCATTAAAAGACAAGAAAACAAAGTAAATGTAGAAAATGATGATGGCAACAGATGTACAAATGTGCTTGATAAAATGGATGTATGGATTGTGGTAAGAGCTGTAAGAGCCTCCAATAAAATGATCTTTTAATACAAAAATGTATGGAGGAAAATTATGACAACTTTAATCTTTTAAAAATGCCCACACAAGGAAACCTCTTTCTGCTACTCTCTGCTTTCATTGCCGAGACATCTGATATTCCTACATGTCAATGGCATCCCTCCCTCACATCCTTTTCTGAATCTGGCTTGAGTCCTTTTGTTGCTGTTGTTGTTTTCTGGTTTTACCTTCTTTTCTTTCTTTCTTTTTCTTAATCATTTTATTGGGGACTCTTACAGCTCTTATAACAATCCATACATCAATTGTAGCAAGCACACTTGTACATATGTTGCCTTCATCATTTTCAAAGCATTTTCTTTCTACTTGAGTCCTTGGTATCAGCTCCTCTTTTATCCCTCCTTCCCACACTCTCCCACCCTTATGAAATATTGATAATTATAAATCATTGTTATTTTCATACCTTACACCATCCGCTGTCTCCCTCCACCCATATTTCTGTTGTTCATCCCCCTCAGCGGTGGGAGAGGGGTGGGTGGGTAGGGGGCTGGCAATTCCCTTTCTATTTGCTACAGCAACGTTTTAAAAATGATCTTCAGTGGACTTTTACCTGTGTGTGATATTACTGATATTGTTTGATGATTCTCCCATTCTGTCGGACCACCTTTCTTTGGCATGGATACAGGTTTGACTCTCTCCCAGCCAATTGGCCAGGGAGCTGCCTTCTAAATGTCTTGGCATCGCTGCCCTGCCCAACTCTTTAGCCCCGTTCATTCACGAGTGTGTTCATTCACTGAGCAGAAATTAATTGCGCACCTGCTGTGTGCCAGGCTCCATCCTAGGCCCAGAGGCTCACTTCATGAATTAAAGACGATATCCCTGTCCCCATCAGGTTTACCCGCTAGCCTCAACACAGCCTTGTGTTTCTCTAGGCACATGACTTTCCTCTCCCCACTCCCTGGCTTCTCACCCTGTTGTGGGCCAGGTGCCTGGGTTGGTCACTGTTGACCAACCTCTGTCCTCAGCAGCCCTTGAACGTCCCAACCCCTCCTCCCTTAGAACTTGCTGAATCAATCCCAGGAAGAACAACCTGGGCATATGAGCCATCAGGTCTGGTGGAAAGCTTGCCAACAGAAAGAAGACACGGGGAAGTGGGAGACTGAGAGCCCCAGGCCAGGGAAGGGGCAGGAGCTTCCTACCTGGGGTGGGGGACATCGTGTTTATCTGGGGGAGCCTGGGGTGCGAATGACATGCCTGGCAGCCTCGGCCCCAGGCTTGCAGCTCCCTGTGACCTTCTGTGGGTTTGAGTCAATTTTTCAGTCGAATGATCCCATCAATTCATCGACAGTTGGCGGGTGTGAAGTCAGGACAGCTGTGCTGTGTCAGCACGTCTCCTGGGCCCAGCTGGCACTGCCTTTGCCACTCTGGCCGCCTCGTGGAACCTGAGAGACTCTCTAGGAGCCCCCGACCGGTCCAGGCCGGCCCATAGCATTGAACTA